TGTGCTGATGCTGTTGCTATTTTGTTTTTTTTTGTTGGTGGGGCCTCAACCCGAAGCAGCAAACCTCTCTTGTCTATTATATTTATATTAATTTATTTATTTTTTATTACCCTAAACCCTAAACCCTAAACCCTTATGCACGCAGAGAGCGACATCTCCCCCCTAAACCCTAAACCCTTTTCTACGCCTCAGGGTTTACTGAACCTCTGCTTGAGGGTTTAATCCTCGTGGTTTAGGGTTTACAGTTCTAGGGTTTACACCGTAGATGGCCGTTGCTTTAGGGTTTAGGGTTTAGGGTTTAGGGTTTGAGGGTTTGAAGCTTGCAGCATTCATTCGAATGGAGGGTTTACTGTGGGGTTTCTTCTAGGGTTTAGGGTTTGTTAGGGTTCGTTATGCCTTAGGTTTATTAGGGTTTAGGGTTTAGGGTTTACTGGGGTTTAGGGTTTATTAGGGTTTAGGGTTTAGAGTCTCCGGCATCGGCTGTTTAGTCTAGTGGTATGATTCTCGCTTAGGGTGCGAGAGGTCCCGGGTTCAATTCCCGGAACANTAGTCTAGTGGTATGATTCTCGCTTAGGGTGCGAGAGGTCCCGGGTTCAATTCCCGGAACAGCCCTTTTTGTATATATTAATAAAAACACCAAAAATATTATTATTTTATAATTAATAACTATTAATTGAGTAATAAAAATAAAATAAAATAAATTTTCTCAATTTAAAAAATATTAAAATGATTATATTCATCTTTAGGTCTCTCCGTGCCGGTCACCGTCGCTGCCGGAGCTGCCTATACACCCGAGCGGTGTATCGAAGCAGAGCAGCTGTGTTGCTGAAACATAAAATTTTAGTTAATTAAAAATATTTTATTATTTTAAAATATAAAATATATATTTATTTTCCCTTCTGTGGTGTCTGTTGTGCAGCGGCGTCGCCTATGAACTCTCACGGGGTGTATGTACAGCTAGCCTTTAATTTTTATATATTCTATTTATATCTTCAAGCGTACATACAGCAACCCCTATATATATATCTATATCTATATATATATATATATATATATATATATATATGTATATGTACAGCAACCCCAAAACGTCTCAGTGCTAATT